ATTAAACAACGGAGAAAAAGATGCATGATATGGTGATGTGGTTCATTGTTTATAGAGTGTGTAAGATTCCCTTCATCGAGGAAAATATAAGGCCATAACCGTTTTCAGCACTATTGCCACCCTCTATGTCGACAACGAAAAATTACGATTATACAATTTGAGCGCTCAATCAATGGTATATGAATTAACATCCATTTAAAAGAAGCGGGAAACACACATTTAAAGTATGACAAAATCAATGGCCTCGAGGCATAATAAATTGAAAATAAAAATGACTAATTTTAAAATTATCAGTTTCCAATGTATTTAGAATTAATTAGAGATATAATATTAATAAAGAATGTCTTTATTCTAACTTAATGCAATTGTAAATTAATATTTATAAACAAATTGAAAACATGAAATTAACGACTTTATGTTGGATATGCAACATGTAGCATTAACGACTGTAAGTCTTACCACTACAAAAAAAACGTTTTTTAGCCACATTCAAAAATGTGGCAAAAAATGATAAAAAATGTGGCTAACAGATGTTACCACATTTTGATTAAATGTGGTTAAAATAGGTGTTGCAATAATTTAGCCACACTATTTTATTCACTTTGCCACATTTTGATTGAGTGTGGCAGCCTTCTTTTAGCCACAATTATTGTTAATTTAACCACTTTATAAATGTGGTTAAATTGTATAGTTTGCAACAATAAAAAAATGTGGCTAATTATGTCTGAATTTTTTTTTAACCACATTCATGAATGTGGCAAAATATATGAAAATCATTTTTTTTAATTTAATAATATTACGTTTTTTTTATTTAATAATATTACTTTTTTTATTAATATTATAAAAATAAAAAATAATAAAAATTACTTTTATTATTTAGTATGTAATTTAAAAAATAACATGATACACCCTTTAATGATGCAAATTTGCCCTGAGGTATTATGTGTACATAATTTGATGTATAACAAACATTTTTCATATAATAAGGAAACACTCACAATATGTATGTATCAGAAAGAAAGAAAAAATCACAACATGTGGCTTAATTGCCCTACACTGGCAGATTGTACAAACATTTCAAATCTCACCATAAAGTATTTCATGGAATACCTTCCCCCTATTAGTTCAACACTCAAAGAATACCTCATTGTCTAATCCCAAAAAAGAAAATGTTCAAGCCAGTGAACCAATTTGGGTAATTGAAAAAAAATATAGTGATTATCTCTAATTGTTCAAAATATCATTAATTTTCCATGAATCATTCTCTTAAACTAAAAGTATAGCTCTTCGCAAATATCAATCTTCCAGGACCTGTTCTTCTATGCATCCCAGTCCCTTGAAGTGCTATTTACTCTATCACACCTGCATGAAAACCAAAAGAATTTAGCTTCATGATAAGAAAGAGAAGAAATAAAGCTTGCAAATGATTTAAAAAAAACAAAATTATTTAAGTTTCTAACCAATTATAACAAAGAGGGTAAAACATATTGGTTGAAAGTAGCTAACTCACTTCCAAATTTATCTAGTAGAAATTTGTGAAGAGAAGCCAATTGCTTTTGAGTTTGCACAAGCTGCTCCTTGGTCTCTTCATATGCAATCTTGGTCTCTTCATATCCAACCTTTATCTCTTCATATCCATCCAACTTTATTTCCAAAGATTGTACATGTTTCTTCAAGTCTTCAACACATTGTTGACTGGAACTACCAAAATTGGTAAAACCAATAGAATGTCTTGGCATTCCAAAAACATTGGAGGGGCAAACACCAGCGCCTAAGCCACGCACCCGACCTAGAGGCTCAACTCCATATACCTTTCCAATAGCATCATCAGGATAAGCTAATACCTTTGATGGAACACCTATAGTGGCAGCACGCTCTTGATCTTGAGATAGGTGCTCTGATATCTTTTCCTACAAAATAGTTAAAGTCAGCCAACAAATACACATCAGGAAGAGCACTTTCTCTTCAATATCAGGACCTAAGTACATTTTGATTGAGGGATGGGTGACCAACTAGAATGTTGCTACTTGCTAGTGGTCCTCCATGTTTTAATTTATATACTGCAACTGCACCAATATTAGCTAATCATTCAAGTACTGTTTTTAATACTGTACTGCTTAATTATCAGTTTGGCAATGGACATTCATTCCAATTATATTGCAGTAGCAAACAGAGACCCAGTTGGGTGGGTTTTAATATTGCAATAAATGGAGAAAATAACTAGTTGTTCGTTTCCAATGGATTGTATTCTTTGTAATTGTACACGACACTGATAGGCCTAAAGGCAAGTGGATAAAAATTTATAATTACTTGTTATTATAAGGCAATAACTAGATATCAATTCAATGTCCTAATGATTTAAATTAAATGGAGTCAGAATCAAATGGTTTAGGTTATTATAAGGCAATAACTAGATATGAATTCAATAACATAATCAAATAGACTTATTTACTTACAACCAAAGTTTTCCCTTCTTCATTTACGTAGCTTCCGTCCTTCTTCAATAAAGTTGATAAAATAACCTCACTTCGGCATACAGGTCTTCCCAATTATAACTCCTAATGTCATTGATAAAAAAATAAATTATCAATGATGATATGTTACTAACATGCTTGCAATAATGGGTTCATTGAAATTGGAAAGAATAAGAAAAGAGTAAAGAGTATAAAGCTACCCAGTAATGAATACACTAGCAGTTTTAAATTTATAATTAGAAGTAACATAAAGAAACCAATAAAATACTCACATTGTAAGTTTTGTATAAAACAACTTGGATCCAGTATATATTGAATTGTCATGCCAAAGTAACATAATAATAATAATAATAAAATATCAAGGTTGACATTGGGATTGCAATAAATATGCTTTTACCATTTCACGGCCTCTCCTTGCATTGCTTTTACTACCACCAGCATGTGAGACTTTAAGCTTCTTACGACTTTGTGTGTTTTGTATACTTCGTGCCTATAATTTTAAAATATGATAATCATAATATACCAAGTTTTTCAAGATATGCATAAAGTAAAAGAATTTCCTATAAAAGATGTTTACCTTCATCTTATCATCCTTATAATGATGCACAAAAGCAGTCCAATCAACACAGTTAACATCTGGAGGAGGATTAGCAAGTATATCCTCCTTACTTTTATTAGGATAAAAATTCTTACACCTTAACCTATATTTGTGGGTCTTCCATCTTTCACCTAAGGTGCTCATAGCCCATTTGATGCCACCAGCATAATCAAACTCAAAATTTTCCTTCAAATATTATATGCATAAATCAATCTTTAATGACAAGAGAGACAATAAATTAAATTAAATTAAATTGCTGGAAATTTAGATAATTACCTCAATATAATTTCATTGTTGGCGGTTATTGTCTTCTGGCATCCAATTCCATTTTTCAACTGATATTGGACAAATTGTTGAGTTTTGAGCAAGCTTACCAAGAAACCTCACAAGTAAGTTTGCACCATTGTCATTGCCTTGTCCGTTACCATTGAGTTCAACAATAACTTTTTTAGTTTTTTCCAAATGCCAAATCTGATTTGCTTGCATTTTTTGAGTCACAATTTCTCTTGAAGAAGTATCTACCATTATGTACACAAAGCAAAGTTAGTTTATCAAAGGTAGAAAATTAAAAAATAGCAAAACAAGTTTCAATATAATAATAAAATTATCTGGGATACATATCTTGCACTAGTTATAATAAATGAATAAAATGAATTTCATGCTTTAAAAATATTCACCCTTGCTTCGATCTGCCCATATAATACTACTAGTTATCTTACCATGGGTTGCAGTAGCCATTTAAATTCCATGCTCGTAATAATAACCGATTAAAAAACAGCAAAAATAAAAAGAGTGAAAAGGACACCATCTTGTGAAAGGCACACGGCAACAAATTCATTATGTTGATACGTGTCAATTGATCAATGAACATTTGAAGCTGTTGGCTATACAGTGATAAAAACCAACTCATTATGTTGCTGTGTTAGAACAGCTTTTGAAGAGATGCTTATTCGTGGCAATTGCATTTGAAATTGAAACATGACTACGACAGCAATATAACATTTATAGTATATTTAGATAAATTATAGATTATAAATAGAAAAAAAATTATAATCCTACAGGTGGTTACTACTATTTATCTTTTAATAATGTACGACTAACTCTCAAATTTTAATGACCAACACAACTCTGATTAAGAAATTACTTACATAACAAAAATAACCCACTCTTAATACTATTTATCTTTCAACATGAAAGTAGTTGTAACAGTAAAAAACTAACACTTGTTATCAAAAAAAAAAAAAAAAAAACTAACACTAAATAAGTTCGTTCCGTTGCTTTTGGAGTTTTACCAAACTGCATATGCCCACAAGTTTAAATAAATAGCAAAACCAAACTACATTCTACTCTAAAGCCAAGCCCAAAAAGAAAAAAGAAAAACAGAGGGAATATGAGTTCAGCATCCCTTGGAGATATATTACCTCTAATCTTGACATCCAAGGGCTCCACTTTCTGTTGTGATTGTGTTTCATTTGGGTTTATGGAAGAGTCTAATTCTTCGTCATTAGATGAAATGGTATTGTTGACATTTGTTGAATGGGCATCCGGATGATTATCATTAAATTGTTGTTGCAAACCTTGGGAGCTTTCACTATGATTGTCACTATGCTGCCCTCGTAACTTCTCTAACATTTCTTTTGCTGAATTCTTTCGCTTTTGCCTCATTTTGTACCAATTTCCTGTAGAATTTGCTAACACATGTCACTAAATATGAAACTAAAATACATACTAAATGATTTGCAAAAAATATAGTACTAACATTCAGAATTGAGTAAGTTTACTATTACAATCTTCATGATAAGTTGTACTAAATTATGAAATGATGCATAGGAAACACATACCAAATATGAAGCCAAAATTCATACTAAATGGTCTGTAGAAAATATTAAAATTCACAATAGAGTAAATTTGCTTAGTACATAACATAACTAGTCTAACATTCTTCCTACATCTCCATCACTACAACTATTATGATCTTCATCATAATTTGGTTCATTTTGCTCTTGTTCATTGACATCATCCCGAACTAATTGTAATTCTTCAATACTCTCCAAATGTTGCTCACAGAAAGGTATGTCCTCCATCAATGGCTCTTCCAAGTCCATTAAGTTCACATCTCCCATATCATATATGTCTCGAGGTTTCACATGACAAACACAACACCAATCTTGATCAATTGGATCATCAACATAATATACCATTCTAGCATCAGCTGCAAGGATAAATGGTTCATCTGTTTCATGTGCACCTGTGTGTATCATGCGAGAAAAGTTTACACTTGTTATCCCAAATTCATCTATCTTGACTCCCTTGTTAGGTGTAGTGTCTACCCAAATACATTTGAATAGAACAACCCTTAACTTGCCATAGTAATCTAACTCTATAATATCAACCAATTTCCCATAGTACATAACATCAATTGATCTTTCAATAGGTTCCTTACCACTTGAAAATCTTTTAGTAATGGCAGACATAACAACCCCACTATTCTGTGTACTCAATCCTTGCTCCTTCCTCTCTGTACGAAACTTAAAACCATGAATATTATACCCATTAAATCTCCTTGCAATATTATTTGGCCCTTTTGCAAGCCATTCAATTTCAGTCAGAATAGCGGGATCATCCTTTCTTGCAACCTATTATTTTTTAAAAAGTATTAGGATAATTGTATAGAGCTTTTATGATAAAAAAAAATATCTAAGTGAATTTAAATATATATAGTCTTACATATTCTTTAAACCACTCGTGAAACTGATTGTGCATATAATCTTCCACAATTTTGGAGGTGTTTTTTTTGCCACGATGCATCTTTGTAACCTCAGCTCTACACTTCCTGGATGAAGAAGTTCTAAGTTATTACCTATGGTGAGTTTGTAACAAATCAAAATGAGGTCACTTGTAACTTACTCGCGAAATGTATCAACTAGTTCACAATTAGTTAAGACATAGCGGTGAGCTTGCATCTTCTCCAAGGGTTGTAGGGAAATAACCTTGATAGCACCAACAGGTCTGCCTGATGTAGGAAATAAATTCAACAAAATAGTTGATTCACTACTAGCATTAAGTTCATTGTCATCATTATTGTGTCTTGGCCGATTAAACCTCGTTTCAGTGTCACCATCATCTAAATATCTTGAACAAAAAGTGAGACATTCCTCCATTAAGTACCCTTCAGCTATACAACCTTCTGGTGTGGCTTTGTTACGAACATATGATTTTAAATGGCCGAGGGTCCTAACAATAAAAGAAAACAAATCTTATAAACGAAAAATCATTAAAATAAAACAAAAATTTGATATATAAAAGAATATACCTTTCAATAGGGTACATCCATCTGTATTGTACTGGACCAGCAATCATTGCTTGCTCTCCAAGATGAATAACCAAATGAACCATAATGGTGAAAAAGGATGGAGGGAATATCATCTCCATGTGGCAAAGGGTCAAAGCAATTCGTTGTTGCAGTTTCTCTAAATACTTGACATCTAAAACTTTGCTTGATACTTCTCTAAAGTAGTTACATAGCTCAATCAAAACAGAAGTAACTTCTTTAGGAAGAGTTCTTCTTAAGGCAATTGGCAAAAGATGCTCCACCAGAATGTGTGAATCATGACTCTTTAAACCAGAGATCTTGCGTTTCTTAATGTCAATGCATCTAGAAATGTTTGATGAGTAATTATCAGGAAAAATCACATTCTTTAGAAATTTTAGGAAGATATCTTTCTCCAAATTCTTCATTTTAAAGCATGATGGAGGAAACTTAGAGGAATTAGGATATGGATGAAGCGTTTCTCTAATTCCCATTTCCTGTAAGTCTTTACGAGCTTGAAAATTATCTTTTGTTCTCCTTTTGTCATCAAGCACTGTGAACAATATATTGTCACAAACATTTGTTTCTATATGAATCATATCAAGGCAATAACGAATGAGGTTATGCTCCCAATAAGGTAGATCCCAAAAGATACTCTTTTTCTTCCATTGTTGTGGGCCAATCTCACTTGTACCTTCATCCTCAGCCCTTTTTTGACTCACCTCAATTTGTCTTAACATGTCTGAACCTGATGGTGGAATAGGCGCAGGCCTAAGTTCAGTAGAACCATCAAAGGAATGTTTGTTGTACCTATACTTGTGATCAGGTGACAAATACCGACGATGCCCCATAAAACAATTTTTTCTACCAAACTTCAGCCTTTTAGATTCTGTGTTAAAATTACATGATGGACAAGCAAGCAATGTATGTGTATTCCACCCAGATAAGTTGTCAAGACCTGGAAAGTCACTTATAGTACAAAACAATGAAGCACGCATTTGAAACATTTCATCAGTAGAGGAATCATAAGCATCTACACCAATCCATAATTTTTGTAATTCTGCAACTAGGGGCTGCAGGTAAACATCAATATTATTGCCAGACATCTTAGGACCAGGAATTATCATTGACATGATAAGAGAAGTTTGCTTCATACAACACCATGGAGGATAGTTATAAATATACAACATCACTGGCCAAATGCTATTATTGGAACTTAAAGTTCCAAATGGATTGAAACCATCGGTAGCTAATGCAATTCGTAAATTACGCGGCTCTGTAGCGAAATCCGGATACAATAAGTCAAATTCCTTCCAGGCTTTACTATCTCTAGGATGCCTTAATAACCCATATGGGTTTACCCCCGTAGCATGCCATTTCAACTGCTCTGCAGTTTTAGAGCACATGTATAGTCTCAACAATCTAGGTATAAGGGGAAAGTATCGCAATACTTTTGCTGGTTTTGTTTTTTTCTTCTTTGGGCCGTCCATCATATTATTTGCACCACCATCATTTTCATTTGATTCCCATCTGGATGTGTTGCACTTCTCGCATTTATCCATCTTCTCAGCCTCAGGTGAACCCCAAAATAACATGCAATTTTTTGGACATGCATGAATCTTATCATAGCTTAGACCCAACCTTTTAATCATCTTTTTTGCCTCATAGAAAGATGTTGGCAATTTAGCATGGGGAAAAACATCATTTAAAAGTTCAATAATCAAAGAAAATGTTTTATCAGTTGCACCACATAAGACTTTTATATGATACAACCGAACAATGAATGACAATTTGCTATATTTTGTACAACCATTATAGAGTTCTTGATTCCCATCCCTTAATAACTCTCTAATTTTTTCTAACTCTTCTTTACTTGCATCTTTTGTACCCCCCGTGTGGTCGCCATTTGGTAGATTTGATATGTCAGAATCTTCAATTCCATGATCATCAAAGACACCAAAAACATCATTTAACATATCTTGCATTGGATATTGTCTAATTGGGTCTTCGTGTGCTTGTGCTTCTTCAACATTGGATTGAATATGTTTTTCCCCATGCATGTACCAAAATGTGTACTTTCTTGGAAAACCCTTTTGAAGTAGATGACTTAACACTTCAGTTTTATCACACATGCTACGAAATCCACACTTAATGCAAGGACATAAAATTTGTCCATTAATAGATGCGTTTGAAAAGGCAAACTTCAAAAATTGGACTACCCCATATAGGAACTCTTTCGATCTAAGTGGCTTCTCAATCCAACTCTTATCCATCATAATTAGTTAAATCTGTTTTCAAATTTAAATCAAATCAAGAGGCATTTAAAATATCCAATAATATAATATTAAATCAAATAAAATTTACTTTAGAAAATACCTTTAGCTGCTGCTCACTTTATAATCGGTGGTTTGGATCAAATCTGCCAATAAAAAAGTTAGCATACTTAAAATTTAAAAAAGACAAGTGAAAGAGACAGACAGACAAAGAGAGAGAGAGAGAGACCATAACACATTAATTCTATATCTATAGTATGTTTGTCCATATGCTACTTTAGATCACTGTTTATAGACTCTATGTTTTAAACTATTTTATATCATGACAATTCAGAAGGTTAATGTTTAAGGAAGAAAATTTATGTTGGAACGAATATCAAATGACCGTAAAAACTTGACATTTTATGGTGTGTGAATTCATTTTCATATATTACATTAGATTTGATAAGTATTTAATTCGCTTAGCATATTCTCCATTTAAAATAACATATATGACTATAAAAAAATGACATATATCATTTTTAACCGTTTTTCTTTAAAATTAAGGTTATTTTGGGTCAATTATATATATCTTGATATTTTAAAATATGTTCTTTTTAGATTTTCTACTCAAATAGTTACGTGAATCTCCTTTATAATTTATAATATTTTTTAAAAATATACCTAAATTAAATTTGATATCTTCAATTTGGTTCTCAATATCAATATAATAATTACATTAATTAAGGATGAAGAGAATACATAATAATTACATTCTTGATTTATATTATACCTTTAATTTGTTCTCTGTGTATTGCCAATTGACATTTGAAAATTGAACATTTTTATTCTCAATATATTATACCAATATTTTTTAAAAATATTTTTTTACCGTAACAACCCAGCAGGCTAGTGTTTAAAGAAGAGAATTACGTTTATTGGAATATCAAATTCATGTAATTGCAACACGTTTTACAAAGGATGAATTCAATTTTATAGATTTTAAGAGTCATAATATTTATAATATATTATAATCTTCATTAAATTATGACATATATTTTTTTTCGTTTAAATTTTAAATTCAGATTCTTTTGAGTTAATATATATATATATATATATATATATATATATATATTTATATTATAGTTTTAAATATATTTCCTTTTAACTATATTCTGTTTAGATTTTTTACCAAAACTAATATGACTTCCTTATAATTGAAACTATTTTTCAATGGGGCAGGATTAGGTGTGACATCCCTTCTTCAGTTCTTCCCATACGCGTCCGGGAGAATGTCTATTTAATTATATCAGAGCGTAGCTTAAATCATTTCACTGACAGATAAACAATTGTTAAAAGAAAAATCAAAATCTGTTGCTATGGAAACATGAAACAGATGTTTGTGTTCATAAATTCATATCAATTCAAAAACTTGCTGAAATTTTAGTATGATAAAGTATACATAGAGGGCTTTAAAATTATATAGAATATGCCTCGTTTGGAGGTCCGTAGCTCAAGAAATCTAATTTACAAAAACATGGACAGTAGCAAAACAAACAGTAGTGTTGGTCAGTTTTGCATCTAATGATTTCAAACATTTTCGGTTCTAAGGAAAGCTCTTTGAACTTTAGCTTGACTCATAATTTGCATGCAACCAATCCACACTTAATTAGCATGGTCTCATCTATTTTATTAGACATGTTTACATTGGATTATAAATATCTCCATACATGAGTGATATACCTAACAGGATAGACATATCTCTAATAGATGTGACTATACTCGTGGCTTTTAAGGAATCATTTAGTAATATTCATACAACCAGAATTTCCTTATACATGTATGCAATCATTTTTCTCTTCACATGAACATCCCTTCACAATCATAGTCTTCGAAAGGATACTTAACTTGTTCATGATGTTTAAAGATTACTTAACATGTACACACTACATCAGAATTTTCCACATAATTCATGAACTCATAACTTATCAGAATCATCTCATACACATATAACCGTATGGGAATTACAACCACTAATTTGCACCATAAGCACATGCTTATGTACTCACTATATTACAACTGTTTACAACACCAATATTCTAAAAGTAAAGGTTCATTTTGCAACTTGTAATACCCTGTGTATACTCGAATTGTTATCATATTAAAGTATTAAGTGCAACTCAATTAAATGCGGAAGCTAAAATATATTAAGCTTGCAGACATGCAAGATCACTTTTTCTTTATTAACATACAATATAAAATCCATCTATATCCTTATGTAATTGCAAAACCACAAGTAAAATCCTGAAATGCCTCAATATCATAAATAAATACTAAGTCATGAAGCTACATCGCGTAGTCATGACCAACGTCCATTTCTCATGGCGTATACAAAGCATACATGTCAAACCAAATAACAATATCAAATAAGGCATGGACAACCCCCGTGCTCACAACAAACATAACATAAGCGTAATAATCATATCTCAGGTACAATAGTCATGTCCAAATGATATAAATAAAGCATGCATATAAATCAATTCTGCTCTGGCCTCTTGCCTCGGGAAGCATCCATCTCATGGACGTCTACACCTGAAAATGTGCCCCACACGGGGTGAAATCTCTAAACAGAAATCTCAGTAAGCATGGGTTCTTGAAGAGTTCCTCCACCCCAAGCTCACTTCGGTATAACAGTTCAAAGATAATAGTTCAACAGTAATAATATAAGCACATGATGCAGCAACATATATATATCATGCATGTGTGCTAACAAGTCTACTAGCCATAAAATGGTATGACTTACACACGTCTGCTACATATATAAAAAGTATAAGTCTCTTGCCTCATACCCACTGTAAGAACCCGCACCGTTAATTAAGGAATTTAATTAATTAATTATGAGAAAATAGGAAATGATTCCATAATTGACCCTAATAATTATTATGAGGCTCTAATAATCAGAATAAGTGATTAAGAATGCTGAAAGTCGCTTTTCGGAAGAAAAGTGCAGATACCGGTTCTGCTAGTCGGTATAAATGCGTACCGAAAAAGTATCCCGGAAAATTATAATAAGTGTATGATAATTCCTAGAATAATATATAGGACTTGTAAAACGAGTTTCAAGTCATAATGAGAACTGGTGCGAGAAACTGATATTGGCTATGAAAAACGCGTACCGGAAAGGTGCTCCGAAAATTATAAGAAAAATATGACAATTCTTGTAAAATTGAGTAGGTTAAGAATCCAAAGTTTGGGATTAAAATGATAAGCGTAGCAATTAAAGTTAATACTGCGTGTTTAATGCTTAAGTGGCTATATATACTCTTTTTATGGGCACAAAACCCTAGGATCAAACTTCATGTACGTGGCTTGTGTTGGTGGCTGACCAGAAACACTGTTCCATTGCCATTTCCCTTCTTCTTCACCACTCTGAGGGCCAAGAAGACATCTTTCTTCTTGGTTTCTTCATCAAACATTTACTGTAGTGTGTTGTGAGTGTTGAGGGTGTGTCATTTCTGAGTTTGAAGGGTTGTGTGAGGAAGCTTTGGTTTTGACTTGGTGGTTTTGGGTTGTGAGAAGCCTTGTTTTGGCATTTGGAGGTCCAAGTGGTGGCCTTTGGTGTTAAAGAACCAACATTTGTGGTGCTTTTTCGTGCACATCTCTGAGTCAGACTTGAGGGGCTGTGTTAGAGCTCCAAGAGCACCCCCTATTCTCTGTTTTGAGCTTGTGGTATGATCATCACACTTGAACTTGAGTTTTTATGCTTAAAAATAAAATCTTGATGCATGTAATAGTTAAAAGATGATAACCTAATGTTGGGAAATGTCAAACACACCTAGAAATGCATGTTTAGGCTTCTGTAATCGGTAAAAATGGAACCTTGGAAGGATATCTTCACGAAATGCAGAAACTGCATTCTGTCGTGAAATATCTGAATATCTGATCGTGAAATATCCGAATATTGATATCCGGATATGGGGATATGGATATTCGGATATGTCCCCGAGGAATATCCGGATATTCTAGGATTTCGTAGAACAGTAGTTGTGCTGTGTGTACAGTAGGCTATTGGGGGGTTTGTGGACCTTGGATTGATGAAGTTGAACTTCTGTAATTAATGAAGTAAGTCAGAATCATGTGATTAAGGGCTTGTGGCTTTGTGTTAAGCCTTAAGACGTGAAACGTAAAGGAAAGGCGTTGTCTTTAAGTTGTATGCTTGTGGTGCATGTTTAATGATATATTATTGGTCCATAACAGATTGTGATACTGCTGTGTATGGACCTTGAGATTGTGGACTCTTGGCTTTGGATAGTGAGCTTGCAAGGTAAGCTTTCGTGTCCTCGGTTTAGCCATGTTGTGGTTCCACCATGTCCCATGGGGGTATGGTTATATGCATGTTGTGTTACATGCTTTTGATGTTTTGGAAATGCTGTTGAGCTGTTATATGCTAGTCCCTTTATGATATGCATGTGGTGTTCCACCTATACGGTAAGCTTGAGTATGTAGTACATACAATATGGTGAGGCTGTGGGTGAGGTGCAAGCGGTGTTCCTTGTACTACATGTAGGTGATAGACGTATTCCTGCATTTCTCTGGCCAGTAGAATAGTATTGACACACATGGCACGAATATCTGTTGCACTGTATAGTTTTGGAACTTATATTAATATAAATGCTTTTAGAGCTTATATTGCACATGTAAGTGAGCTTGGGGTGGAAGATCCTTGAGGACCCCATGTCTTACTGAGATTTCTAGTTTAGAGATCTCACCCCACGTTTGGGGAATGCTTATTTCAGGATCAGGTAATGTGGGGGTTGAGGCCCCAGGTGGCTGGATGCCGGAGCTGAGTTAGATATTGATGGTATTATATGTTGTCATGT